TTTTACTCCTCTAGGACCTGTCATAGACTTAAATCATAGAAACCGAAACATTTTACTTCGCCAGAATATTATAAATTTAACAATTAGAAATTGAAGTGTTTATTTTCATAATAACTGTCACAGAGTCAACTTGAAATATTCTACTCCTATAGGAGAGACCGATACACTTACCTTTTTAGGATCGGTAATGTTCAGTACTTCTCCTGTTGCAGCAACCCGTTTGGCAAAACGAAGAAGGCCTGAAGAAATCTCAGGTTTTGTGGATGATACAGAACTGGAGTAGTAAACATGACGGAAAATTTTATATACAAAAAGTGACGCAAATATTAAAAAAAAAGGTTAACGTGAACTATCCTCGACGTCGCTAAACGTAAACGTAAATGATTTTCTGAACTGCAAAGTGTAACGTTATAACGTCCTTTGCCTTTTATCACAAACATTCGCGTGACACTAAAATTTCAGATCTATCGTAAAAAGATCGTCTGTTTATTGTAACCTTAAGCTCAGATCTGGCAGTCGTAAAAAGATCGTCAGTTTATAGTAATCTTAAGCTAAGATCTGACAGTATACGTGAAGGATGTCATTTATGTTATTTGATTCTATGGAGAGCTGAATATTCTTGCTAGTACCAGTATATACGTGTATTTATTCTTAGGAAATCACAAAGTGTTGTAATTGTTATCCAACAATGTTTTATTTTAAGTGTTAAAACAAACACAAAAACCGACGTTTGTTTGGCACAATGAAAGGTAAAATCTATATTATTAGTTACAGCCGACAAGTTTCGGTAACACGTGTAGCAGAAACGAGGAACATGTGCCCAGTAACGGTCAGTTTCAAACTGTCTTCGTTAACCTGAAGATGACCTAAGAAGGTCGAAACGTTGTTCGCGTACTTTATTTTAATTAAAGGTTTTAATACCCATACCAGCCGTCTCTGCTATACATTTTTACTTCAAGTAGATTTCTCGTTATCATTAATTTCGGTATAACACAGTTACCGTAATCAGGGCTAGTGTCTATGTATGTATGCTAAGCTAACAATGTAGATACTAGCCATGCTGATAGTCACTGTGTTACCGAAGTTAGTCGCCTGTAACTAATAATATAGATTTTACCTTTCATTGTGCCAAAAAACATCGGTTTTATAGTTTTTAGCTCTTAATATAGTAGCACAATGTACCTTAAAAAATTGTTATTGTTTTATTTTGTTCTAATTTACCTTATACTCGCTATCTAAAGACACAATTTATCAGAACTATGAAGTGCTAAGTCAGTGGTACATAAGGTCTGAAAAAACATCGTGACAAGAAAAAGACAGTAGACATTCAGTGTTAGATTCGAGGGTGGACTCAAGTGGACGTAGTCCACCCACCCTTTTGGAACAGTGGACGCCGTCAAATCGCTAGTTTATGGAGAAAACTATATTTCATACTCGTATCTGCAATATTATTTGTCTTAAACATTAGTTTTCGTAAGGTTTGAATTTTGCTATTTTATGTCAGTGTTCGGTGACCCCGTACAGTCCACTCACTAATTTGTGTAGGAGTCTGACATTGGAAACCTTAAACCTTAATTGTCTGTAACACACCAAATCAATTTAAAGACGAAGCGACCTGCTTACATCTTCACAATACACCTAAGTAATTAGAATTTCTTTATTTTATTTTATTATTATTACTAACTAACCTTATCTCTGGCGAGAATGGAATGAAAGGAGAAGAGGTCAGCTCAAATGTCCTTGAAAATTTCACGTTCTGAAAGAGATGTTGAAATAGAAAAGCACAGGCTGCTTATCTTACTAAAAAATCAGCACATTCTGAACAGAAAAATGGAATATATAAAAACTACTCATTTGGAAAACAGATGAAGTCGTAGATAATATATATATATATAAGAACTTTTTAAATAAAATTAAAACAAAAGTCAATAAAATGTTATCTCATGTTCCATTCTATAAGAATGATTATTTTTCATCATTTATTAACTTTCGTGAAAACATAAATAAACCTTAATCAGAAGCACTCCTGTCTTGTTCGACTATGTATTCTGCTTCAAGAAATATTCGACTCTTCGACCGTATCAGATCAAACCCTGAAAGTTATGTTTTTACTGTAGTCATGATAACACGTTTTGTACACAACTAGGTTGTCATAACAATATTGTCATTTTTGGTATACGACATGAAACATAATATACAGGCACTACTTATTTTTAATCAAATATTCATGACTACTTGATAACAGTCAAATAAATGCAGTTTCTCTACCTAACCGTAAATAAATAGTTAAAGTTATATCAGTCTAGATAGTTTGGGAAATATATTTAAGATTGAAAAATATACTATCTAGCGACACACACACACACATATATATATGTTGCGAATCGTACTGTCTGTCCAAGCGTTTGTATGTCTCCCGTTTGAAAAGCTGCGCACGCAGGCGAAACTCAACATTCATTTTTGAAATGATGGGAGAACAGGCATGAATAATGTTGATGCTAAATTTCATTTCGCAATCAGAATATTCTACGCTAAATTGTTATGAATTATTCACACTGTCATGTACATTTCAAAATGTGACGTAACTTAAAGTATAAAAATGTAGATTTACCTTATGTTACTGTTGAGCGGCTCTTAGCATGACTGAAATGCTCAACAATTACTTTTCGCGGTGGGCGGTACAAGCACCCCAGAGCTTTGGCTCTAAATGAAACCAAGAATGCAACACAATTAACCTTTTTTAAAGGCTATGAAATAATTCAAATTAATAGATTAACTTAAACTTTTCACGTCACTGGGGACGGTTACTTTTGTTAGATGAACTTAACGTTTTCCCGTCACTGAGGACGGGTATTTTTGTTAGATTAACTTAACGTTTTCCCATCACTGGAGACGGGTACTTTTGTTATAATAACTTGAAGTTTTCCCATCACTGGGAACAGGTACTTTTGTTAGAATAAACTTAAATTTTTCCCGTCACTGGGGACGGATACTTTTGCTTGTAATCTATATTTAATAGCTACAAGAATTACTAGTGTACTTTATAGTACAGCGATCCAAAAATAAGAAAAAAATAGTTTACTCGTGTGTTTTTGTCTAAAGAAACGAAGAAAAATTCTTGCTAACCTCGCTATCAGCTCCCTCATGGAGAAGTAAAACGGCTGCTCGTTCACATTTCACCAAACGTTGCGCCCTCTGCATGATTTTGAGTATAACTTTTTCCAGAGATGTTTGCTCCTCGAATAAATCGTGGACAACCTCTAACAGCGACTAACAAAATTTTAAAACCATTGTATTTTATTGAAATTATTTGATCACTTAAGATGTTTCGTCAGATAAATCCAAAACGAGAAAGAAAATTAAAGCATTTATTATAAGATAATATTTTTCATTCGATTCTTAATATCGATTCTTACCTTGTAACTAAATCAACCTTTAATATTATATTTTGTTATCATAAAGTACGTTTTTCAGTCATCCGGTCTTATCAGCTCTGGTACTTTGGGATTCGAAATAGCTCTTTTTAATATCTTAAAAAACTTCGAATGAAAAACAAAACAGTATATAAATACGTCTCAACGTGAAGAAGGTAATAATTTATTAACTTACCCTGTTTCTCTCGTATTCCTTCTGGGACATTTCAAAAAGACGAGCATTAGTTAAGGCAATTCCACAAAACTCTAAATACGCCTTGGCGAGCTGAAATGTATATATATAGTCAACAGTTTCAGTTGTAGTGTTTCTAATTTCTTTAATAATCTACACTTGGTATCTGAGAAGTAGATGATAGCGACGTAATTTTCTCAAGGGAAGAAATGTGATAACAATAACTATTTATTTACAAAACAAACACTCGAACCATTATTTGTTTAGCAGAACACACTAATGTCATAATAAGCTACAAGAAGGTATTATAAATAAATGTATATAGACAAACATAAAATGCTCAATAAAGCTTAATATTCGACTTCTAGCACTATTGTCGCTCGGATACCTGGAGTATGTTCACTCGCCATACTTCCTATCATAACGTATACTATTGTTATAAATACGAAACATTTTATTTCTTATCTCTAAACCTTTTTAAGATAATCACATACTAATACAAAATAAAATAAACGAAAGTTCAATTAAATAAAACATGATCGTGCAGTTGAATAATCGGGTTATTAAAAAGACAACTTTAGGAAACATGTTAAAAATTGGTAACAGGCAACTTGGGTGCGTTAAATCTAAATAACTAATCTATATTTTAATCGTTTGACCTTTAAAATTCCAAATCGAAATAGCCGCCAACATTAACTTGGCACATGTTATGTATTATGGCACATTTTGCTAAAGGTCGGTAACATCAGTTTTGAATATAATTTGGACCTGCTGAATCCAAATGTCCTTGTTACCAAGCTGTATTTTAACTCTTTACCCCCTGAATATTAAAATAAATAATTATCAGAAGATGTGAATTAAAGAAAATGGAAGAACTTGTACAGGCTAACAGGAATGTAAGGAGATGCATCATTTTCATCACGTTGACATCTTTGTAACCAAATTGTGTAAAATATCTCTCTGATTCAACTTTCTTAAAATATCTCTGAATCAACTTTGTTCAAATACATCTCTGAATCCATCTTGTTGAAATATCTCTCTGAATCAACTTTGTTCAAATACCTCTCTGAACCAACTTTGTTAAATATCTCTCTGTATCAACTTTGTTGAAATATCTCTCTGAATCCACTTTGTTCAAATACCTCTCTGAACCAACTTGGTTCAAATATATCTCTGAATTAACTTTTTTGAAATATCTCTCTGAATCAACTTGGTTCAAATATATCTCTGAATTAACTTTTTTGAAATATCTCTCTGAATCAACTT